TGAAGACCAGGAAGAGGTTTGAGACGATGAGTGCAGGCAGCACCACCGACACTGAAGGGGCCATCTCTCCAATGTGGGAGTGTGATGAGGTCAGTGATTGTTAACCTGACTGTATGTCATTTACAGTCTATTAAACATGGGTGTCCCGAACATTTTTGTCACCACCAGTTTGTTTAATTTCAAATTATGATTTAGTTTGAAATGGTTACAGATATTTTGGCTTATTGAGTTTAATGTTTGTAGTATTATACAACAGCTGGTGCTGAAATGTGGGGATTCATTAAAATATGCCTTATTATTGTGACCGTTTCTTTTTATATTTTATTTAGAAGGAAAATGAATACACCAACGAGCAGAAGGGGAAGTTGCCTTCTGAATCCGAAGGGCCCAAACAGGACTGTGTGCCGACAAAAAAACCCGTTCTGGATGATTTGTGTCCATCAGCCTCGTCCGTAAAGAGAACATTCTCGGAAATTGAGAGAAGCCCTGAGACGTTGGAGATTCAAGCCAAGAAAAGTAACACGGCCTATAAGAGATGCTACAAGATTCCAGAAGAACCGGCAAGGCCTCACACTGGCCTGACTCGAACATTTCCCAACATCCAAATCAGTAACTTCTTGGCCTCCACTGAGGAGATTGGGTTAGATGAAGAGCGGATCCCAACACGCTCCAGTCCCCTCGCTAAAAGTCTGATAAGTGAACTAGAGGAGCCAACAGAGGACGTGTTTGAAGACGGACCCAAAGACCTGTCGCCTTTCGCATCACCCCTTACCGGGAACAGTGACATTTGCAGGAGCTTGAGCCTTGATTCTGATGCCTCTATGCATGAAACGTCTCTCACTATGCAAAGCTGTGCGTCTCTCAAGACAAGAAAGTTTGCCAAATACAACAATTCAGCATCATCTGATGAGCAAGAGGAACATAAAGATTCACCCATGGCTGAATCACTCCCACAAACTCCATCTGCTGTTGCTATGGGAACACCCACACTTGGAAACTTTGTCCGGACAGGCTCCTTCCTTAACCGGCTCCCTGATGGTGACACAAAGTCCTCCTCATTCCTCAAGCCGAGAAATATTGTCGCGTTCCGTAGCTACTGTAGCTCCATCGACCGCTCCAACATGTCGGAGGTGTCCCGGTTAAGCATCGGTTCTGTTGATGCTATGGAGGTATCCACAACTGCTTCCCATCCCTCTGCATCTTGCAACGCAACACCAGTGCAGAAAAGACCCAGTTCCAACAGCTCTCTATGTCAGGTATGTTGTAGAACTCGCCACTGTCCTAAGTTTAAGACCTGCAGTCTTTTGTGCACATCTTGGGTAAAAATAAAAAAGATATATTTTTGGAATGACCTAAATGAGTTTAAGAGTTGTGGTGATTTACCTGTCGAGTGGTATTAAAATACATTGTAAATGACATAAACCACACAAAGGTTACTTATTTAAGGCTTTCTAATTAATTTTTTTAAATAATTTTCTCACATCAGACTCCTCAGCCCATGTCAGCCTCTCACACCCCCTTCAGGACCCCAAAGAGCGTCAGGAGGGGGACACTGCCTGTTGAGGGTCTACCCATTTTAGGAACTCCTGACTATTTGGCTCCGGAGCTTCTCTTGGGAAAACCACATGGTAAGATTGGGAAATTAAAAAACCCCAAGTAACACAGCAACACACAAATAGCCCAAAACAGTCTTACTGTATTGACATTGGATGGTTGACTTGGTAGTCTTTTTGACAAGCACTCTTGTTTGAGTTTCAGGAACTTTTCACTGTGGTAAGTTTATTGTGATATTTCTGTTTGTGCAAGTAAGCTTGCATGATCACCCAGCCTGCTAATAAGCTAAAGGCAATGAGCTGATTCTTCCCCCTTGTCCTTCCCCTACTGGTTCTCTTTCTTTCCGTGGGATTGTTGGAAAAACTGTGGGCCTGGTCAGAGGCAAGGGGGAAGCATTTAAAACGTGTGATTAAAAAGGCTAAAGAAATGGGATTGTCTTTTAACATTCAGCTAACGCCATTGTTACACGGAACAAGGTTTAATATTTGGGCAAATTGTGGCATATATTCAATGTGCTATATCACTGGCTTTATTTTTGTCAATCATCACACTGCAAATTGTCATCTAATAATAACGTATTGATTGGATATGCTGTTATTTATTCAAATGTAAACAAGCTGAGGGCAGTATTTCCTGTCAGTCGCGCCATGCCATTGTAACATAATTGCTGACATTTGGATTCATGAACTGTCAGTCTATGACATGATTGATTCTGTGTGGCAGTATTTATTCATCAGCTGTTAAGATGTGTTCACAGCTCAACTCAATAGATAATTGGGATGGATTCTCAAATCTTTTCATTCATTGCAAAAGACTGTGTTACAACTACAATCCCAGACACACATCAATATTCATGTGTGTTAGATGTGGGTGATAATTACAGATATTTTAAGCTACGTGTTGGTGATTGAAAGAAAATTAGTTCATACCAGAACGTCCTTTTGTCCTCAACCTAACTTATTCCCTGCTCATGCCACTGCAGTACAATTGGTGCACTCTAACTGAATCAAAGGGAAAACATGTTGATGCCAGCAGCTGTATGAAATGTGACTTCTCTTTGCTTCTATCCAGACTGCATGGTGGATTGGTGGGCGCTTGGTGTGTGTCTTTTTGAGTTCCTCACAGGTGTGCCACCTTTCAATGATGATACCCCTCATCTGGTCTTCCAGAATATCCTCAACAGAGGTGGGTTTGGTTTTCTTTTACAGAAACATCCTAACGTAAACCACAAAATGCTTTCAAATATGTAACTCGCACACAGCCTGTATTTGATGATCCACATGCCTAACAAATAACAATTTTAGTTTACAATATGATGTTAAGGACATGCTTTAGTTGCTTTTGTCACCACCACCTTCCTGTTCAAAATTGTTGCTTCTTTTAACACTCTCAATCATTTTAGATATTTTCTGGCCTGAGGAAGAGGAGGAACTATCTGTAAACTCAAGAAATGCAATTGAAATTCTCCTAGCCATGGACATGACAAAAAGAGCTGGTCTAAAGGGTGAGAACAGCTTTACAATATTTGAAATCATAATTTAAAACAATGTTGGTCCTCAGATCTTAGATTTCAGGGAACCTATCTGAAAAAAATATGAGAAATTCCATTAACTACGAGAGCGCATGTGAATCACAGATTGTAGGATTTTGTTTTTTGAGCCTTGCAGTAAAAATGTTGATATAATATAAGTACACTATTAATCTATGTCCTAAGGTTTTTTGATTTGTGTTAAACATGTATGTCTTTAAAAAGAAGAAAGGATGAGACTGTTTCAAGCAGCTGTAACCAGGGAATTATTACATAATTGTAGGCTAATATTGTTTTTAGTTTCAATGTCCTTAATAATAATAATCTAATGATATGACACAATTTAATCGGAAGTGTTCTCATCTTTTTTTCTGAACATCCACCAGAACTCAAGCCTCACCCGCTGTTTGAGGGCTTGGACTGGGACAACCAGCAAAACCAGCCGATGCCTTTCATACCGCAGCCAGAGGACGAAACCGACACCTCGTACTTTGAGGCAAGAAATAACGCTCAGCACATTGCCGTGTCCGGCTTCAGCCTCTAGAGTTAGTAACAGTTATGTTTTTATTGAAGTAGCTGTCAACAAATTGCGGCTAGTAGTGAAGTCAGAATGTTGTGCGGGTTTGTGAATTCACTTGATCTCATGGTGGAAATTTCCCAAAAATCTGATCCACTATAAATACAAAAATCAGAATCAGAATCTGATAGTTTCTCTGTTCAAGGTGGTAACATTTTAAAAAGCATTTGAGGTATTTGCAATCACTGGTCGTTAAAGCCAGGAAAAAAGCCATATCTGTAAATGATTACGGTAGTTAGTTTACGAGTAGAAAGTAAACATGTTTTAAACCTTGGTATTACCATTATTTCTCTTAAATTAGGTTATTATACTAGCAGAGTGGTATTTGCTTTGGCTTTACCCTATTAAAGGCTTTGATCGCTGTGTTGTGATATAAATTAAATACAAGATGAGCAAGTTCATGTAGATGTGTCACCTACTGCCGTGCCAACACCCAATTTATTTTGCTGCACTGTTCATCATTGTAATGTTTTCTCTTGCTCTGGGCAGACTGGGTGGTCGGGTCGCCTGAATTTATCATTAAGGGATACAAAACCACTTCAAAAATACTAATATATTCATCAATAATCTATTTTAAATGTAAATCGTGTTAATAACGTTCAGTGTCATTGTTTTAAGACCATAGCAGGTTACTTTATGTTGTAGCAGAACAGTTTTTTCTGCTTTTATGTCATCTTTGTTCGTTGTTTTGATGTGTTCACCAGGTCATATTCCACACTACTAGTTTTAAGGATAAGTTCAAGGCTCCGAGTTGCTTGTCAAATTGTATCTTGTACAAATAAAACTTGTTTGTAACATAACGTAATTTGTGCTGTCTCTTATGTTTAGTGCCTGAAGGAAAAGTGTAAATATTGTCTAAAAATAGCTTGTTTTAACAAAAGTTAAATAAAATAAATATGAATCTCAATTTTGTTTGGAAAATATGAATATATAGTTGGCAGCTCCTTTCTCAAGCAATTTTGAGATATGTCTGGTTATGCAAGAGTAGCAGCCAGTTAGCTAGCAATGCTTAGTTGGTTCCGCCCAAAGCTATATAGCCTATATAGGCCTATATCATTTTTTTTAAATCAATACAAAGTTTAACATTGACAAATTAAAGCTTTACAGAGGTTAAGTGTGGGTAATCTTTTTTTAACCAGATGCTGTCGTGCTAATTTTTTACTGTTTGAAGACAGTCAAGCTAACCTTTTTCATGTTTATGCTGAGCTAAGCTAAAGCTCTGCTAGCTGTAGCACATTTTTACGGTACAATATGAATCGTTTTCAGTCTTCCCACCAATTTTAGAAAAGACAGCTCTAAATATCATCCAATTCCTTTCAAAAGATACTGGAAACAACAACATAGTTTATGAAAACTTTATTTGAGGCTTGGATTATCACATGCAAACACCACTCTGTCCACAGGCAGAGGGGCTATTAAACCGTAGCACAATTTTAGTAGAAAGATAAACTATTACTTCTTTATTAAAACATAATGGCTCTGGAAGATAAGTGCTATTGCAGATGCAAAACTTGTAAATTATATATAATATTCTATATCCATAATACATGAGAATGCAATTAAAATACTGCATTTTAATCTGAACTGTACAGCTATTGTATAGAATTTACATAGATCTCACTTCTTTGCACACATGTTAACCATATCACTCACAAAATCTTTGCACAAACATATTACAACACGCATTAAAATGATACAATATAGAAAACCTTGACAGGTCAAACAACAGTGATAAGTATTATGCATTAATAATTGGACAGCTATGTAGATTCTCATTTTCATCACCTAAAGGCTAAGGTATTATGATTAGTGATAATTTTGTCCAGCACAGCAACAATTATGCTACAATTTGTCAATGTAAGAAACAATAATGCCACCTACAGTATAAATGTACCTTAATGATGATGAGGCACTTCATCGATTTGGAAAACAATTTGAAGTAATATGACAAAGCACAGATTGATATGCAGCAGGACAGGTGATGAAAACATATTAATAACCTTGTCTAACATACACATACAACTTAGTGGCCACGTAAAACTAATTTATACAGCTGAAATCTGGTGAGCAATACCTTCATTGTAACTTTCTAAAAGCAATAAATATTAATTTAATCTCAGAATTTAAAAAAAATCTCACATATCAATATCTTTTTACACTTCTTTTTTCAGTCCTCCCTTCTGAACTACAATTATTACATTTTTATTATAGCAGCATTGCCTGGGCAACTAATGACAGAATTGTGAAAATGTTTAACCACATCAAGCACTACGTTTTAAAAAAGAAGAAGAAGTATCAAGCCCATTTTATGTGCAACACAGCCTTAGTTATAGAAATACAGCACTGGAAAAATGTGTATTGACCACTGCAAAATCATCAGTTTCTCTGGTTTCACTATTTATAGAGTTTATTTTATAAACTACTGACAACATTTATCTGTGTTGGAATTCAACAGACACTGGAATGGAATGTCTGCCATACATGTAGAGATTGTGATTGAAGAAAAATGTGCAGTGGTCTCTTAATCATTTTCCCCAGAGCTATAATTGAGATGCTGCTGTCGTTGGTTTATAAACAAGCAGGAAACGTTGACTATGAGTTCCACCTCTCAACACAAACCATTTCTTAGAGAAAAATAATCTGGTACAGTGGCATCATCTTAAAAAGCGTGTACAATCACAGGCTGCAACTCCTTACATTCATGTTGCTATTTGATTCCACATCCACACTACTTGAGAGATGGCTTCCTCTCCCTCTAGGCTCCTTCTTCATAGTGCAAGAGCAAATTACTGGGCTGTGGGTCTAAGCAGGGGGGAGTTACAGCCATTAGCAACCCAACCAAAGACATTTAGAGGACTCCTCTGTATCCTCTATGTGCGTGGGTGAGAGCAGGTTTTAGTTGATTCTTCTACAAGGGAATAAGAAAGTTAAGAAGTGAAATATGGTTTAGCAAATACACATTTTAATATTGAAGATTATAACTTTCTTTAAAAAAATAAATAATACCTTCTCCTCCTTTGCAGGTATAGGCGGATTAGCCACTGTACAACAAAGGGCCAAATAACAGCAAAGGCCAAACTGGTCGGAGAAATGTCGAAAGGCCACCAGGATGGTTTCTGGGGGGGAATATGAATCATTAATACCAATTGGGATTAGTTCAAATGTTTAAATCATTTAGGTTACCACTAATGATCATGCATCTTTCAAATAAGCTAAAACACAGTTTTGGTAAAAAGTGATTTTCTTTTTTTAAACAATATATATATATATATATATATATATATATATATAATATATATAATATAAATATATATATATATATATATATATATATATATATATAATATTATATATATATATATATATATATATATATATATATATATATATATATATATATAGTAAAATGTATTTTAAAACTGCTTACCCGACTCTTCTTATTCACCGGGGTTGATCCACAAGTTGGAGACAGAGACATTGATCTTGCCTGCAGGGTAAGGAATCAAAAATAAAAGAACTGAATGTCTACAGTAACAAAGTAAAAGGGTTTTATTTATCTAAGCCTAATCTATGCTATTTTTAGACGGGGTACTTTGCCCCTTAATGTTCAATGAAAAAGTTCAAACGTTTTGAACGAAGAATGAAAGATTTTCTATATGGTTGATTCTAAATTGAAAGTGCGGTTGATGTACACGCATCGACTGAAGCTGCCCCTTAATGGTTTCAAATAGCCGCATCCGGGAGATATTTATAGACTTTATCTGCCGTTTAAAAGCACAGGAAGTAGTACATGGTTGTTGTTAAAGGTTTATAAAATGGTAGAAGATAGTAAAACAATACCAATATAATTGTTCAGGTTCCTAGTTCACATATTTATATAGCTTATTTTGTCAGGCAAATCCTAAAAAGTATTCAGATTCCTTTCAAAGAGGACCAGACAATTAACAGAGATGTTTTTCTTAAGATGATGAGAGGACAGAGGGGTCTGACCTGGCTAGCAGTCAGAGCCTCCAGGGTGTGCAGCCTGTCCAAGACGCTCTGCATGTCCTCCTGCAGTCTAGCCAACACGACAACTATCTGCTCATTCAGGCTTCCTCCGGGTGTGACAGCTCCCCCCCAGCGCTCCCTGTCCCCATCTCCACCACCATACATGGGCATCAGAGATCCAGAGCCATGGTCTGGAGACCTGGAGCCTAAAAACACAGAAATGACTTAGACTTGATGTTTGCAAACAGCCAAAAAAAGAAAAATGTACAGTTGCCTTCTTCTGAATGCTGTGTGGAACATAAATGCCCTCTTTAAGAAAACCTTACCTCCTTCTCTTCTGACCAAAGGGCTGTTAGACATGTCTGCATTCAGTCTCTGTCTCTGCGACACTGTTCCACCGTTCTCTCCATCTTCTCCTCCACACATGATGCCCTCTGGTGCACCGTCAACATCGTCCTGGGGCTCCTCTAACGGGGACAAGACGTGGTTCTCGTCTTCATCCAGGTCGTCCAAAGACTGATTATGCTCTGAGCTCTGGAGAAGATGTACATTAAATATTCATGTATGACAGCCAAGTAGCTACAAACACTGTGCTAAACAGTTTTAAGGTGCTCCTTGCCTCTTCCTGTCCGAACTGGTCCACAGAATCACAGTAGACTTCGCTGTCTGAGTCACTGGCCAGCTGACTGGGACCAGACACATCCAAACAAGGATCTGACATCAGTACAAAGGGCAAGAAGAGGGGGAAAAGAAGCTCAGACTCATACTGGAATGTAACTAAGTGGCATGGAGGAAAGCAGCATTCACTATATTTTAGTTTTGCCATTTAATCCAATAATTGAGTCCATTAAAAGGAGCAGCTGATGTGTAAAGTGCTAAGAGTCCCTGAGTTGCCACAGCTCTGTTTAGCAGTTGAATTGATCACATGGTGCACAGTCCTCAGAAACACAAAGCAAGATTTCAAAGACAACAGAATGCTGTCATAGCTTTTTTTCCTCACCTGTGTGGTGACCGTTGAGCAGAAGCTCAGCGACTGAGCCCTCCTGAGAGGGGACACCGTTCAGACCGGCCTTGGGATGACTCCCATTGGTCAGATGGGTGACCCCGTTGGACACTTTACCGTTGGAAAGAGGCACTTTGTGTCTCTTGGTTGAACTCTTCTTCTTTGGTTGAGAAACTGCTGATTTCTTGTCTGAAATGAATCCCCCAAAAAGTCAACTAAATGTTTTTTTACAGTACTGTTGGACAGTGTTGATAACGTTGTTACCTTTTTTGACCTCCTTTATCACTTCTTCTTCCTCTTCCTCCTCCTCCTCCTCTTCTTCTTCTTCCTCCTCTTCTTCCTCCTCCTCCTCTTCTTCATCCTGTGTTTCTTCCTCTGACTTTTCCTTCACTTCCTTTGCCTTGAGCATGGCAGGACGAGTCTCCAGGTTGCCATTCATCTTCATTGTTCTGACGATGCTCTTTGCGATGCTCTTCGATGGCTTTGCATTCACCATTGAACTAAACCCTGTGCAGAAGAAATGATTTCATTTCAATACCATAAACACAAAGGAATGCTTCCTTTGAGGTTAAGGTTACTAATACGTTATTAACGTGAAGAATTCAATCAAAATTAGGTAACCACTTAGACCAAGGATGTTTGCAAAACCCTCATGTAGTTTATGTAAATGTAATAAGACCCATGTTCTATAACACTAATCCACCAAAAGCATCTAATCTACAACTCCAGACAAATACTATTTCACTAAAACTATATCACCAGACTCAAATATTTACACAGCAATATACTTGCCATCCATTTGCCTAGCAAACTGTGTCAAACGGGCTGAGCATATAAAAAGAGGCAAATCATAAAAAGGTTAACATGCTGTTATTGACCCTGTATGACACGCCAAGTAAAAGGTGGTGATTAAAAACCTACCCATGCTCAGGTCTGATATCTGTGTGATCTTTTTCCTATCGTCAATCAGCTCATAGAAGGGGCCGAGGACACGTAGTAACTCCTCCACCTCATCTGTCATGGGCATACCTTCCAGGATCTACGCATCAAATACAGCAACAAATGCAGTGTCAATGGCAGTGATGTTTAGCTCAAAACAATAACAATAAAAGGTTTGACTTTAATATACTATATTATGCAATTGTTACATGGTCAGGAAAAGTAACATACCAGCTTCATTTCATCAACGTAGCCTGCCATTGCTTTTTCTTTTGACATATCTTCAAGAGAGCTCCACGCATCCCTATCACATTAAATCAAAAACAGCATTATTATACAGCTTAAACAAGTATAACCTGTAAAGCATCTATGCCAGCCAGAAGATTTGCTTTGAAGACTTCTGTGTCAGCTTTTTTTTGGTAAACAAGCTCAGTTTATGTAAGGTTAATGTGTCTAGACAGAGGTTCAAAGGCCGACTGAAATGTAACTATTCATTGGTAACAAAAGTTATTCCTTAAATTGGTATTGTCTGCAATTAGAATCCAATCACATTTGACCTGGCTAGGTAAATTGGATACAAATAAAGTTTCACACAACATTATTGCAAGAATGTGGAGGGGATATTTGTATGGGTTTTGAGAATACATTTCTCAGACTCCACCTTAAAACAAGCGTTTTTACAGTTTTTGATAAACTTGCAAATCCCCACCCTGATGGGACCATGAGAGAAACTGTGCAGGCTAGTGGGTAAGAGGTTACATTCCAAGAGTCCAAAGATCCCCTAACACAACTTGAGATTAAAGAGAGAGAATCAGTAGAGCCTTTGAACCCCAGTGGAGAGAATTGTACTGTATCGTATTGCACAGTGAGGTCAAAGTGGGCCAAAAACAACATGTTGTGCAATGTGCACAAACACTCACTGGTTTATGCTGAATTAAATGTCAGCAGATTCAGAGAACATTGTAAGACACTAATGTTTTCCCCATAAACTGTTCAAAGAATGTAATGACCTATGCGTATTAAGATAATAACATTAAAAACTAATTGACTGACAGTATATTTACCATTTTGCTTTGCCAACTGCATCCCAGAAGCCAGGTCGGGGTATATTGCATGCACCAACAGTGGCTTGTTTATAATAACTGTAGAACTTGAGCATCATATCATTGGACGGCTGAAAGGGACCTGGGGAAAATAAAGGACATTTCATTAAACAAAATGTGTCTTAAACATGTATCCTGCAATAGGTTTTAGATTGCTGGCACTAAAGCAAATCTCTGCACATTGTTAGTAAAGTGGATTAGGCCTTTTAAATCGCACAAGCTCAAAAGTAGACCAAGCTGTTGCACTGCACCAGACTATGCCTGACACCATTCTGTTTGTACCCTATTTTAAATCCATGAACTAGACTAAATGATGTAAATATCGACTGTTTTGTTCACTTACCATTCGGGGGTAAACTCTTAATCACTTTTAATGCAGCCTCGAACCTCACGAGGGTCAAACGCCTCTCATCCTCCACTTCCACACTCTCCACCTCCATTGTGTGAAACTGAGATTGTCAACACAAAACCTACAGAAAGACAGTAAATAAACATACGTTAAAATATGAGAACTAATATGCTACAAGCGGACTTCCACAATAACATGTATGCTAGCTCTTTATCACAGTTGTTGCATACAGCCAGACTTTTGTTATGCTAATGTCACTAGCTAAGCTGGCAAGTTGTTGTATTTACAGTCTGGTGTGACCACAAATAGAAGGAGGTTGTGTATCTAGGACGCACAATTAGCTATGCGACACACGTCAAACTGCCTATATATTTGTGACAAATACAACATTTACTTATAAACTGTCGACGAAAAAGCTCTAAGCCGATGATACGTACCGTTAATGTCAACGGCCTATCTGTTTGTCAGAAGGCGACCTGTCTTTAGCCTTCGACCAGACGCCATCAACAGTGTATAATTCCAGATAGAGATGCAGTCTGGTACTTGTAGTCTTCTACTAGATATCAACATTTCCTACTAGGTCCACAATCCTTTGCGTGAAAATGTCGTTTGGAGCAGGTTTTAAGAAATGAAAGTGGCTTTTGGATAAAAATAAACCATGTACTGAATAAACAAGAAAAGTATTTCCAGCTATAGAATAAGACATGTTAGTGTATAATATTTAAATGTGATCTTTATAGAATATAAACTATACACATAGTAACAGTTTACGGTAGAACTACATTTACCACAACTCCCTAAGCGTGATCCATGTTTTTTCTACAGTTGGAAGGGTGATCGGTGGATGGGAGTGAGCAACAAGAGCTCTCCCTTTGTCTTTAATTCCGATCACCACACATCTTCGTAAAATATCTAGATCTGCAATTTGTCAAAAATGTAAAACAATAATTTTGATAAATGAGTTACTGTTAAAGTAAACTTGAAACATATTATGCAAGAAAAATGTCAAAATGAACTAGTTCCGGTTCTCAAATGTGAGAATGTGCTTAAATATTTTTCCAGAAAAAAAACATGACATTTGAAAACATTACTGTGGCTTTTTTTTAAAGTATATTTTAATAGGTATTTTTGACAATTTCTTTAATTTAACCGATAGTTAATTAGTTGACGAAAACATTTCCAGATTAATTAATTGTGAAGATGTAGAAATACCTCAGATCTTGTACTTAAGTAGAATTAGCAATAGGCTAATATGTGAAAATCAGTTATACAAAATTACCATTCAAATGTTTACTCAAGTACAAACGTATTATTGCAGCCATCAACATATACGAAAAGTACTAAAGTAAGTTCTCATTGTTCAGAATGACCAGTTTTACAACATTTTATATTATATTACAAATATTGCATTAATGGGTATGTATGTACCACTTTGATGTTTAAGCCTGCGAAGGGCTTCTTCTCTAGAGTTGTTGTGCACATGACAATACATACCTTAAAACTAGTAAAAGTTGTCAGTTGTGAGTAAATGTACTTCCACAGAGAAAACACTGATCTTATGTATAAACATTCGAGCGAGTACTCTTTCCGTGCACATACGATCTTCGGGTTGAGGTTACGCCAAAGCGAGGGCAGGAATCCCACAATAGCAGGCGGAGAGGATTTTTTTCTTCCGAAGCGGAGCTTGGCTAGTGGCTGTTTGAATCAAAGGGAAGCAGAGGGAAGGAAGGCTCTGTGGGGAGATGTAAGATGGCAGAGCTACAAATGTTGTTAGAGGAAGAGATTCCAGCCGGTAAAAGAGCGCTTGTGGAGAGTTACCAAAACCTTACCAGAGTAGCAGACTACTGCGAGAACAATTATGTCCAGGTAAGTGAGTTAGCACGTTATCTTCAACCTCCTTTTGTCGTGAAAAGCTCCGGATTGAATTGGTTGTTGGGACAGGAAATGTGGATAAAGAAGCCGGAATGATCTCCTCCGCCCAAAGCTTGGAGCTGTAATACCAGTCTGATGCCTTTACAACTGCGGGATATTTAGATATATTGTATGTTTTCGAACTATTAATCACATTTATTCCGTTTACTGAGGGTGTGTCTACTTTTTTATTATTACAGTGGGTCGGTTCAAAAACTGCTTCCACTCTCACTGCTGATAGGGAGGCCTTTGAGTGTTAACGTTACAGCAGCAAGTTTTAGCTGTTATAATTATTTATTTTGTATTTAAAGACACTAGCAAGATATTTTATCTAGTTTTTTCCCCTTATTGACATTGACCAGGACATTGGTTGGCATTGACATGCAAACCTAGATTTGTGGGAAACTAAATGTCACATTGACAGTACACGTCTACATGAATATTGTAGTAGCACAGAGCAGTCCATGCCATTCCATAAGGTCATTAAACTCACCATTTAAAACCACAACAGTCCCCATTGGGATACTACAGGAATAAAACATTGGAGGTGTATAGGCTACATTATTGACTTGTAAGCACTATTCTATGTCAGTGCATGGCTTTTATTGTTGCTGCATTATATGTAACTAAACACATTTTAATGCCACATTAAAGCCTTATAAATGCGTCGAAATCTGTGGAAGGCAGCTTTATGGAGAGTTTATTTAAGCTTGGTTTGCAGGCTTGCAAATAGGCTGAGGGAGGAATGTAAAGCCTTTGTTAGTTGGTCAATAAAGGTTGGAGGTATTGATTTTTCTCAACTTATCCATGGGAACAGACCTTACTTTGGTTTTAATGGGGCATCACAGCTTTCTCCCCGGTTATTTGAGTTATTTTACCAAAGTAGCTCATTCTGTAATTAAAGTTCCTGTTTTGATAGGTTACTAAGGATAATTTTACATGTGTCATAAGGAAATGACTCTCAGCGAAACCTCATACATCGTCTTGTATTTTCGTACAAATATATCTGTGGTAAGCCACATCTAAAAAAGCCAGAGCTGCTTTTTGAAAGTGCACTGAGTGACACACAAACTGTGGTTTGTGAAAAAAACGTTTTAACAGGAAGACACACAACCCACAATATCAGCTGCAGAGGGTGTGTCCATTCCAGCTGTACTCCCCAAGGACTCCCTGTAATTTAGTTTTTGTATTGTCCTCAGATGATGTGGTATTGTGAAGCTCAGCTCTGAATGTTGCTGTAACCCTCGCAGACACTACAGAACAAGAAGGTCGACCATTGTGCCCCTTCATGAAGTTGATGACTTTTTTTTGTTTCTCCCCATGATGGTTTTAATACAGGGTAATAACTAAATGTCCTTGTTGTGGATCTTGTTTACCACAGCACAATCTGACATGAGATAGGGTCATTGAAAACTGATTTCCCACAATGACTCAGTAACAAGATCTATAAGAAAGTAGAAGCAATGTTTTTTTGTCAAATTTTCACCAAACTTTTTTGCAGGAAGTTTTGAAGACTAGCACTGCTGTTATTTTCTGTCCAAACAACAGTTGCCAATAGCCCAACTTTGTCGCTGATCATTGATGACTTTTTTAAAGCACATTCCTAACAAAATGACACTTGCTTTTGTGTAGTGCTGCATGGCAAACCTACATACTGACAAATAAGGAGATGTGTCTGGCGCAGAGATTATTGTAAACTACTAGAAGTTGGTGTTGACTTTGGTATTCCACAAAATATAGGAGCTGAATTGGTTAGATAATACCTGATTCAATGCATAACTTTGCATTTGTTAGATGAAACAATAGGAATAACTATACGGTTTTTATCTGTATTGCTAGAAGTACTTGCTTTTAAATCCATGGCCCTATATTTAAGGTCAATACTGACACAGTTCTCTTGCTCATTAGCCAGTACTTTGTCCAAACTAACTTACAGTTAGACAACGTAGACAATCTACATTATTAAAACACGATGATGCATCCTTGTTCAATAAGGAACTGAAATTATATTTACATCTGACAACCTCTGTATTAGGGCTGCTCAATTAATCGTATTTTAATCGCGATTACGGCTTGCAACGATTACGAAAACAACGTAATCGAAATAAAACGATTATTTTTTTTTTAAATAATTTTTTTTTTTCAGTTGAATCATACTTAAAGTTCAGGGTAATCAACTGTTAAAAACATACAGTTCACATTTTTTTTCTCCAATAAATGGATGTTTTCAAAGTCAATGAATAATCGCATTTAATAATCGCAATTACAATTATTGACCCAAATAATCGAGATTATGATTTTTGCCATCTATCACCATTTCAGTGTGTGTACATTTGGTGAATGGAAGAGGCTCCATAATGATCATATATCATCCAAAGATAAACATCTGAACCAAGATCCAAACTAAAAAGATGTACAGTATGTGATCTAACACAAGCTAAAGGCTATAAAATGTTTTGTGCGTCTGTCCTTGTGTTTAGTCAGAGCACTCTTTTTAAACGCTGATGTAAAAAAAACAGGATTTTAGGCTTTTGGGCACACGTTGGGCGCTCTGTGTGAAACGAGTGTCAGACTAACAGTGCACTTTTCATAATCCCTCTCTGTGTCCGTAGATACACTCTCTCTCTGCCTCAGACAGACACACACACACAATCACAGACGCATACACTGTGCACTCTGAACTAAACCCCGCACATATCAACATGCCTCAGCATGAATCGGCTCGTCCTTTCAGCACTCCTCCTTCACATTTCCATCCCTCCTCTCCTCTCTGTGTTCCTGTCATGGAGGCTGTGGTGTTGGAAATGTTCAGTGACGTGTAGCGTGGCTCAGCAGGCTGAAGCAGATGGAGAAAACTGTCTTTAAGTAAGAAAAACAAATCACTGCCCTACTTTTCTACTTGATAGTGACTTTTGTTTGAGTGTTTAAAACTGTGTGTAACTTATGACACACTAACAGCTCAGAGTTATGTTTCCTGTTTGCCCCGCTGACCGGAGACTGCCTCCCTGGAAATGCCTTCAGGAAGTGCCTTTAAAAACAGAGCCAAAACACCCTTTTAAAATGAAGATACACGCACAGAGATGAATCTGACGTCTAGTGTTTCTTATTTATCTTTTTGTTATTTAGTCTCATCCATTTAGGGTAGTCTCACTGAAGAAAAACAAAATGTTACCTGCTGCACCATTTACATTTATTTGGCTCATTTTCGGTTTTGTCACTTTGTTTAACCTCTGGGACAAGGACACATGCACTGTATGCAGAGTAGGCCACATGGCCATGTTGGCAGGAAGACACACTGAGAGGGCTTTTCACTGCTTAGATCAGGGGTGGGGAACCTTTTTCCTCTCAAGGGCCATTTCAATTTTTTCAACATCCTCCGAGGGCCGTACAAATGATTGACCTCTGCTTAAAAGTACTAAAATCACAGCCCATTCATTTTGCCTTTCTTTCATGCTATGCAAAGAAAAAGCAACCTCTTAACCCAGATATCTGAACATGACTCGCGCATGCATTCACGTGCACGGTTGTGGCATGACCACCAAAACAGAAAGATATGGACACAAGATGTGTGCAAATGCATTTAGTTTCCTATCCATGTGGACATGATTTAAGGGGGAGGGTACCTAACCTCCTCTAGGGGGGTCCGGGGGCATGCTCCCCCGGGAAGATTTTTTTTTAAATATTGAAGTTAAAAGCATCAATCTGGTGCACTTTGAGAGCAACATTAGGAGATCTATGGATACATCTCTCAACACCCATATGAAACAGACCTGTAAGCATATTTACTTTTTATTTATGGATATTTTACAAATCACTCTCCTTTCAAACTGTATTCTTGTTTATTAATAACAACTTTTTTTTACTGTCATATAGTGTTTTATACCCGTTTACTTTATTCTCTTATTTTTGCATAACTATAATGATCATATAAAGATGTGCCTTTACCTCACTGGTTGGAGAAAAAGCTTCTTACATTCGTTAGCATAGCTAGCTAACCAGATGCTAATAACAACAAAGTTATTGACTGTATGACAGATGAACATATCGCCACTGGGCTTACAACTAAGACACAGCCACGCAAAAGCTGCGGCATGTGTACGGCTCCTTATGGGTACTGCTTGGAAGTGCTGGAGCGACGTTCTGGTGCTCTCCGTCAGAACTGCATCCCTGTCAGACGAGACATGTACCACGTGATGATACGTTAGGCTTTTGTTGTGTTCAAGGACCCTGACCTTGGCCAGGAAAAACAGGCACTCGCTTTGTTTAATTTGTTTGCGGTCTAGATTTCTTTAATTTTTTTCTTTTTTGCGTGTGTTTATAAATTACCTCGAGGGCCGTACCAAATGGTCTCGCGGGACGTATATGGCCCGGTGGCCGGAGGTTCCCCACCCCTGGCTTAGATAAACAGTTGGACTACAATCCATTTTTCTTTTTTGATATTGGGCTGTTTTTGATTTATTTATTGACAGAAAATGTATAGGCATCTTATGGATGTGTAGCATTCCTTTTTCATATGATTGTAAATCAAATATCTTTGGGTTTGAGTCTAAGAGCAATTTAAACGATCCATTTATGTAATTGCGAGCTCTGATAATGACCATATTTTACCATAGATGCTTCTTTATTAATTTCATTAATAAAGCAATGAATTGATTAAACGCTCAATTGATAGTACTGACAAGTACAATACCTCATTTAAAAACCTCTTGTGTCAGCAGCCTATTGGTATTTAAAGCTTGGTTACATGTTATCCTTTGAGAATATGGCTTGATATCATATCTATATATATCATAATATATTGTAGCCCCATCATATCCCTTTCAAAATGGCCACATACTGTATTTATCCTTCCACTTACAAAACATGTCGGTAATATATTTTCCGAAATTGATTTTGTGCCATTACCAGGAACTATGGAGGAAAGGTTGAATCATCGGAATACAGTACCAGGGAAT